TATCAACACATAACCGATGTCAGTGATGGTAAAGCTTTTAAAGTTTTCAGTGATGACAAACAGCCCTGTGTCACCTATGCTATAGGTTTGTGGACACCAACCTATGTGTCTCAAAGCAAAAAAAAATTACCATAAATTATAATAGTGTCTGTATCACCCTGTCATCAGATGAGGTATTCTTTCTATATATGTATAGTATAAATAAGAGTCAGACTCCTTTTAAGTGTCAGAATTACTGTTCTACATTAACATTTTCATTAAAAGTTTGTAAAAATATATCACCTTATAAAACTGAATACATTGAATGCAGGGTTGAATCTGTCTTCCTTTGTTGTATCATTGGGTTTGATTATATTTTGGTGTTTATACCCCTCTTCAGTTTATTCAGTATAATATCTGAGGGTCTTTTCAGTGTCAAATTTTACTCTGGGGGCTTGATCCCCAGTACCACACAGGAGAAAACAAACTGCAGTAATGTTGACAACAGAAAGAGAAACCAGATACTTTACTGACATACCAATTAAAAACACTTAAAAACCAATTAAACAATTACACCACCACTAACAATAGAAATCAGCAGTAATAATAGTGACAAACCAGTATTGACATAAGAACCAATAATAGCTACAAACTATACCATACTTAACAATAGAAAAGAGATCTGCAATATTTAGGTACAGAGACAAACCATATATTGACATACAGTAAATATCTACTAAAAGCAACAACTATACCACCATTAACAATAAGCCAGGTATGGTGGCACACACCTGAAATCCCAGTGCTCAGGAGACTGAGGCAGGAAGATCACCACACATTCTAGGCCAGCCTTGGCTACATAGTGAGTTCCAGGTCATCCTGAATTGTGTAGTAAGACCCTGTCTCAAAAGCCAAACAGTAAGGCTAGGGATGTAGCTCAGTGGCACAGCACCTGCCTGGCAAGCGTGAGGTCCTGAGATTGATCTCTGGTACCAAAGGGTGGGGGGAGACAGTAGAAAATAATGCAGCAATAACAGCATAGAGTCAAATGATAGCTAAAAATTAATGGAGCTTAAGAATAAGAATAATGGAAGAAGTGGTGAAAGAAAGTAAAAAGAAGTAAAATTTGAAAAAGAGAAAAGGAAGATGAGAAAGGGAAGAGAAAAGTGATGTAAAAATCCTGTTAAAGAATTTTTAAAAGTTAGTAGAATTAAGTAAAAGTAATAGAAAAGGCAAAACAAGAAGAAAAAAACAAATGAAGAGTGTGAAAGGAAAAAAGAAACAACCAAAGAAAGAAATAAAAGTACAAAAATTTATCCATATGTTTGATTTCTTTCTGCGGTCTGTGGTATCAGAATCCACCAGATAGAGGTGGGAGGCATTGAATGACAACTAGGGCCTATTTTGTCTCCTCCCAGAAGGCCCCATCTCCAGAAGGTTTCACTACCTCCCAACACCACCACCCTCGGCACCAAGCCTGTAACAGACATACAGACCTTTGGCAGACTCTTACATAAACCATATAATTTCAATCCAGACCCTCAAAGGTGCAAATTGTGTATTGTACAGTGCAAAGTGCATTAACTCCATCTCCAAGTGTCCCCAAAGTCTTTAACTGTTCATCATTGTTTAAAAGTCCACCTTTTCCAAGATTCAAGGCACACTCAACTGTGAGTCCCTATAAAACTCAAAATGAAAGTTACATTATCTCCAAAGTACAGTGGTGGGAGCAATACAGGGTAAACACTCTTATTCCAAAAAGGAGGAATAAGAAAAATATAAAGAAGAATAAAATCCAGCAGGACAAACATTAAATCCTAAATCTCCACCTCTGGCATCTGTTGCATAGTGTGGCAGAATGTGGGTTTGGAAGGGCTTCTGTAGCGTCTTCCTCCAGCCTTGCTAGAGGCCTTAGCCCTTATAGCCGCTCTGTTGGGTGGGCTTTGCATGCTGCTTGCAGCTTTCCTGCGTGAGCACTGCACATTTGCTGGCCTCTTTCCCTTCCTTGAGTCTCCACTGCAACTTTATTCCCACATCTCCATTACACGTGGCCCTGCTGGGGGCTACCTCCAGGAACCCTGGCCCCATAGTACATTGCCAGGCCATTGGAGTTTTCCTTTAAAATCTGGTGGAAGCTGCCATGATCCCATAACTCCTACACTCTGCATGCCTGCAGAAGGCAGTACATGGACGATGCTAAGGTTTGCTGCCAGTGTGAGCTGTACCTGGGCCCACTTGAATCATGCCTGCAGCACCCCCACACACACGAGAGAGCGACTTCAGTGTGTTTTGTAAGGATCCAGTTGAAAACCAGAGGCTCTTCCCAGGTTATTTGCTGGATGAAAGTGAGGAACATTATAGTAAAAAGATTGCAGTATTAGCCCCTGAACACACTGAACAAAACTATCTTCACTAATAGTGTCACAACATTAAGTTCATTCTGATGCACTGTAGTGTGAAGTAGCATCATCTAGGATTCTTACCAAACTCAGGTCTCAAACCTGAATATATTCTAACCTCCAGACGTAACTTCCAGGTCATAGGCAGTGCAGAGGATAAATAAGTTAACCCAATGTCAGACATCCTAAGAACAAGTGTCTCGGTTTGTCTCTTAAATCAGCATCATTGACAAAAAGAAGCAAGAAGGGCATACTTCTGGGTGGAGAGCCTGAGGGGATGATGTATTGATAGTCCTTAACTGAACCCTGATTTTTTTTTTTTTTTTTGGTACTGGGGATTGAACTCGGGTCTTTGTGCTTGCAAGCCAGGCCACCAAACCGCTGAGCTAAATAAATAAATCCCCAGCCTGAACCCTGATTTGAAAAATCAGATGTAAAAAGACAATGATAAGAGTCCCTAATCTGCTTCTTAAATAGTAGTAGTCCTTCCTTTTGGCTCTGTAATTTATCCTAATTCTTTAGAATGAATTTTCCCTATTTTCAGGTAACCTTATTTACTGGAAGCCAAGGCATCTTAAGTGCTGGGTATATAACAAAGAATAGAGCAAAGAACCCACCTCAGTGTGCGTACATTTTTATCAGGAGGAAACAGCACAATTAAAGTAAATACACACTAAATAGTGTTGACTCTTACGGTGAAAAATTAAACAGAGCAGGTGGCCTAGAGTGGGAGAATGGTTGGGTACATGTGTGCTATCACAAAGGCACCTCCTAAGGTAACATTTGAGCAACATAAGGGAACAAGCAATGGAAATATTGGGCAAGGGTGGTCCAAGCCAAGGGAAGAGTGAACACAAAGACCACAAGGCTGGAGCCTTCCTTAAAACAGAAATCGCGCAGGGTTCTGTAGTGAAGAGTTTAGCTTATTATGAGTGGACTTAGGGCAGAAGAGTGGCTTGTGTTTTAAAAGCACCACTGCTTGCTATGTATTGTACAGTATTTGGATTGTACTGAAGAGTGGTTAAGAGCAGTGTTTTAAGACCAGGTGAGATCAAAAGGCAGTAATCAGAATTGGTCAGATCCTGGATAAGTTTTAATGATGGGTTAGATGGAAAGGGTAGAAAAAGAATCAAATATTAAGGAGGATTCCAAGATTTTTCAGCTTAAATGGTTGGAGGATGGAATTGCCATTTAGTGAAATAAGGAAGCCTCCCTAGGAAGTGGGGTGGGATTTGGTTGTTTCTTCACCTTGTTTGAACAATGTACTTTGTAAAGGTTAAGCTTGAGGAATTATTTAAAAGTAAGTAAGATGGGATTTAGTTTTGAAGTACTAAGTTTGAGGTGCATATACGGACATTCAAGTGCAGATGTATATTGCTTCACTTTGAGTTATTCTAAAGTATTTTTCTGAACTCCTATATAGTTCTTGCCAGGGACTGTAATGTTGATTATGCACAAAGCAGGCTGTAAGTAATGCAGGCTGTGAATAGTTAACCCCACAATTGCCTTGTTTTGAGAAACGAGTCTGGTCAAGCCTTTGCCAAAGTCAGAGTAACTCGCATCCAAATTCCATTCCCACAACTAAAACGTTCTTACTAGAGGGACAGTGTTCTAAGTACAGCCATATATTTTGTCTATCTGGTTCCTAATTCAAGAATGCTTTTTGCCCCTCACAAGCCTTGCTTACATTAATTTCCATAGAAACTACACCTGCCCATCTTCGCACAGAGTTCACCTTTACCCCAGTTGATTACTAATGAAAATCAGTGGCTTGGACTAGTCAGCACCTTTGTTGGTTACAACAGCATTGGTCATCCTGGCACCCTCTTTCTCTCCTAGTTCTGTCTTAGTTTTTTTTCTCTCAGGCCTGTGTCGTAAACTGGGCAGGAGACTGGAACCTAACTGCAGGGGTCTCCAGTAGTTCTGATTCCTATAACCTAAGTCTTAAATACTCAAGATTTTGCTTCCATCTTCTGCTCTCTAAAAACCTAAAATGAATGACCCAAAAAGTGTATATGCTTTAGGGCCGGGGATTTAGCTCAGTGGTTCTGCCGCCTGCCTCGCAAGTGCAAGGTTCCAAGTTTGAACTTCGGTACCAAAAAATTATATGCTTTGGAGCACCATAGGTACATCAGAGGAGGTTGGGGCAAGGGAAACTTTTAAAAGAAAAAAGGGACACGTCCATGTAGATTGTTTTGAAACAAAGACCATTGATTAATGGGGCTTGTTGCAGGAGTAGCATTTAACTCAGTGGGTAAAACAGCTGTTGATTGGGCACGTTTCCATTCACACGTGGCTCATCTACAATACTGTGGTTTCAAGGAATTCCTGAGGTGGTTCCTTCATGAGCACTTGTTGCGGGGGCTCCTCTTTCATGGACTCTGACTCTACTTTGCAAGGGTTTGACGTAAGTGACTTGGTGTTTGGTTTTGGCAACGTCCTTCCACATTCCTCCATAAACCCTTCTCTAATCTAGATCTATATTTCTAACTGACGTTAATTCCAGTAACAATTGACTATTTCATTTGAGTTTCAGAAGAATTAAAAAGTTATTTGTCAGTATTTTATAAGTAGACTAAGATGCAGATGGAACACAAATCTCTCTGTCCCTCATTTTAACAGTTGATTTCCTTTGGTCATCCCTGAATTAAACAAATTGAAAGGATGAGTGAACTGGAACAGTTGAGGCAGGAAGCAGAACAGCTGCGGAATCAGATCCAGGTGAGAACCTTTTCATTTCCAAATTTTAATGCTTTTATTTAGTAACAGCAGTGTATGGAATTTGTTTATTGGTTCATTGGTCTGCATATATTAAATGATTTATAAGGCTAAAATGGTCAACTTGTTTTTAACATGCCTCTAAAAGTCTTTCCAAAATCATTCCTAACAAGTACCAGTATAGACAAATGGTTTCTGTGTCCCTGAGAAGTTAATAATATATCTGCATCCCCAGCTGAAAGAGAAACATAATACTCTTCTTCCTCATACACCTAGAGTCATAGATTTTTGGTATAGTATAGCAAGGCAGATGTTACCACATATACTACGACAGCGTCAATCTCTAAAACATTAGATTGCTGCACCATTAAAATTACCCAAGCCAGGCATGGTGGAGCATTCATGTAATTCCAGCACTTGGGGGGCAGAGGCAGGAGGATTCCTGTGAGTTCCAGGCCAGCCTGTGCTACATAGTAAGTTCAAGGCTAGTTTGGAATACATAGGAAGACGATGTCTCAAAAAAAAAAAAAAAAAAGGAAAGAAAGAAAGGCTGTAGCTATTTAGCTTGCTTGTTTGCTTGCTTTTGGTGGGTGTTTTGTTTTGTTTTAATTTGAGACAGGGTCTTATGATATAGTTCAGGCCAGCCTTGAACTTACTTTGTAGCCCAGGCTGGTTTCAAACATGTTTCAATTCTCATGCCTCAGCTTCCTGAGTGCTGGAATTACAGGCATGCACCACCACACCTGGCAAATACTCTAGATTAAGATTCTCTAGAACTTCAGACCATAATAGGATGAGGAACAGTTGCCAAATGCAGCAGTGTAGCATCATGAGGCACAGCTGGGAAAGAAGGTGCCTGCAGCAGAAGGTGCATAGGAGGAGGGCACACTCTCAAAGGGACAACTCCAGCAATTCCTTCTTAGAAACAATGGGACAGATGCTTGCCTGGACCTTGCTGGCACCAAGGGATGTCAAGGAAGGTAGAGCTAAGAATGACAGGATATAGATAAGGCCCTTGGTGAGCATGGTGGAGGAAAGAGTTAGTTGTGAGTCATCTGTTAACTGCCTGATTTCTTTTTGTGCAAAAAGGTAAAGGCTAGAACAGCTTACAGATAAAGAATTTTAGCAACAAAGCAGAAAGAGTCTCTGATAATTTGGGACATGGCCATGGCCTTGCCCCATATGACTCTTCTGCATTAGCTATTTCAAAAGAGCTTTGTGGATTTAAAAGTAAAGAATAAAATCTATGGGGCGGAGATTTAGCTCTGTGATTCCGCCTGCCGCCGCCTGCCTTGCAAGAGCAAGGACCCAAGTTCAATCCCTGGTACCAGAAAGAAAAAAAATAAAAGAATAAAATCTATACAGAGATATAACAAGAAAAAAAAGGAAGAAGAAAAACAAAGAATGGCTGAAAAACACCGGAAAAGTGTTGCTATGTGAGCATGGTGAGGTCATAATAAGGACGGTTGACAGGAGTTCAAGGAAGTTGATGACTTCATGGAGAATAATGTCTCTGAGTTAATACTGTACATGTCTGAACAAAGCTGTCAAAACAAAGGCATTTCTGTTGCTTGCAGTGATCAAAGACTTGACAAGCTGATCTCTGAATTAGATGTTATGGTTGAAAATCCCTTATCTGAAATGCTTGGGACCAGAAGTCTTTTGGATTTCATAATGCGGGAGGGGCTTTGGAATATTTGCATACACATAATGAGCTATCCTGAGGATGGGGCCCAGGTCTAAACATGAAATTTTTATTTCTTACACACCGTATACACATAGCCTGAAGGTAATTTTACATATTTTTAGTGTGCCTACATTTTGACTGTAACCTGTCACCTGAGGTCAGGTATAGAATTTTCCACTTGCAGTGTGATAATTGTACCCAAAAAGTTTCAGATTTTGGATTTTTAGACTAGAGAGGCTTAGCCTGTACTGCCACCACCGGAATGAATTCCTTAACATCTCTGCTTTGTGCTGTTTCTTACTTGAGATGCTGAACAGGAGCATCTGATGATTGACCAAATGTATGGTCATGTGTCCATCTCATTTAATCCTCCTAGCAACCCTGTGAAGTAGCTGGTGTTGCTTCATTTTATAGTTGAGGAAACCAAGGCTCAGTGAGATCAAATAACTTTCCAAGGTCACAGCAATATTAAGTAATAAATCCAGGATTCAGACCAGATATATTTTGACTCCAAATCCAGTGCTGAGGATGCACTGCCTCCAGGGTGTATTTCATACCCTTCTCTGCAGCCTGTCCTATAGCCATACCAGCTTGGGTGCCATTTTGCCATTCCCTGAACCATGCATTGCACTTTCTTACTTTGTTGTCTTTGATCAGAGAATTTCCTTTGCCTTGGAATTATATTGCCTGTGTTCTGATTTTGCTGTTTGGAATCCTTTTCACTGAGTCCTAATCGTCCTTTAAAAGCCTTACGAAAGTCGTCCTGTTGGATTTATTCTCTTCCTTTATAGGAAGGCAGCATGGCATGGTGCATTGTGTATGGATTTCTTTTATTACTTATGATCATAGGCAAGTTTCTTAACTTTCCCAATGCTCACTATGTTTGTTGTGAAGCAAGACTACCAGTGCCTACTTTATAGGTTTGCACAGAGGATTAAACATATAAAGGACTTAGATTAATACAAATGAGTGGCAGTTCATTATTTGTGAGCCACTTGAGACTTCTGTGACAGGGATAATCATAGTCTGCCTAGTATTTTATACTCCCTTGTGCACATTTGCTCTTGTATTTTATATTTGCTTGTAATTACATAGGAAATCATGTACCTTAACCATTTCCCAAGTTCAGTGTCATGGGCATAGGTGTTCACTGAATTATATCCTATGATTTCAAGTGATTTTGTGTATGTAAAATACCATACACTTTTCTCTTCACTTTAATCATGTCACACTGTATTTAAAGAATGTCCTTCTTTTCCTCCTCTCCTTTTCCCTCCTTTCCAGAAATATTACTATTTTTTTACCCAACTATAAGGTAGATACATGACTTAATAGAATGTATGCTATTGAATACAATAAATGACTCATTTTAAACTCAACACAAGTAGAGAAAACAGATTTAGTTTTCTTTTTTAGATGTTCATATAAGTAGTTTTATTGAAAAATTTAGAAAGGAACCCTTCTCCGTTGTTTGTGAGAGTGCAGATTGGTGCAACCACTATGGAAATCAATATGGAGATACCTCAAAGAGCTGGGACTAAAGGTTCCATTTGACCCAGCCATCCCTCTGCTGGGTATCTTGCCAAAAGAACTAAAAGAATCATATCACAGAGATATATGCGCACCTATGTTTATAGCGGCACAGTTTGTAATAGCTAAAACTTGGAAACAGCCCATCTGCCCATCAGTTAGAAACTGGATAAAGAAGATGTGGTTTTTCTATAAAATTGAATGTTACTCAGCCATAAAGAATGAGAAATTAGATTCATTCATAGGAAAATAGATGCATATTGAGGATGTACTCCTAAGTGAAATAAATAAGTCACACATGTGTAAATACTGAATAGTTTCTCTGGTGTGAAAAACTATAATAGTACATAAGATCCTAATGATATAATGGATAATGTGAAATAGGAAGAAAAGGGCTAAAGGTGTAGGGAAAGTGGGAAGGGTAGGGGAAAGGTAATAAAAGGAAAGAAAAAAAATAGAAAATGAAAAAATGGAAATGAAGTGTTTGTAAAGGGGGAGGGAGGAGAGGTGAAGAGAGGGCAGGAACAAGGGGAAAAAATGAGAACCAAGACCTGTCATGTAAAGGTACAAGATCCCAATGATGAATATAACTGTACTGTATAACTAAAATGTACCAATAAACTCAATGAGGGAAAAAAGGAAATGAAAAATTTAAATGTGACAAGTAAAAAAGCAGCTGTTTTCTTAGGGTATCAATAAAAAACGCAGTCATTGGTATACTGTCTGGGATACACCTCAGTAGCCACCACAGTTACTTTGGCAAACGTGGTTCCTTTAGCTTCTGCCACATCATGCAGAGTTAAAATTTTGTATTCTTGTGTAATTATTACTTCTTTGATTTAGAACAAGAAGTATGTCACTTTTTTTTCTTTTGCACAAATGTTAATATCAGATCTTACTTTTTGTTGTAGTGAACAATATGGAATTCTTTTATAGACAATTTTACAGTGAACAATAGTGTTCATAAGAATAAATTTTTAATATAAATGGATTATTTGAATAATGTAAAGGTGCTAAGACATTGGAGAACTCTTGTATTCCAACACAGTGTTTTACTTTTTTGGTACTGATTTTTACTGTAGCTCAATAATTTTCATTAGTTGTAAAACTGTATTATTAATGTTAATGTAAGCTCTATGGGGGCAGGCTGTTTATTTGTCCACTGATGTAAATAAGATGCCTAGAATGGTGCCTGACACATCATGTTCAACTGAATTTTTATCAGGTAACTGAATCAAGAAAGATGGCCTAAACAGTGGCCATTTTCATAAGGTTTGAAGTCGGAGAACTTTTTTTTTTTTTTTTTAAGAATTTAGTCTCTGGCCCCACCAGACTTGCACTCTCCTTTCTGGAAATTCTTTAAATTGTGAAAAAGTGGGCTAAATTATTCCTTGCCAGATGAGGTCTCTAAACCTGCAATTTGGCTAAGAGTGAGAGACTCGATCCCATTTTTCTACAACTGCTGTGAACACCCTTACACAGAAATGGTCTAATGTTTAAAGATGGTTCAGAGGACAGGCAGAAATACCATGCCTTCCATCCATTCTGTGCTGCAGGGCAACATTTAACTAACAAATATTGTGTGGCTTCTTTTTGCCTGAGAATGTACTAGGCACTCTAGGCAAAAAACAAAGTGAAAGATACCACTGTAACCTTTCAAGGGGGAAAATTAAGTCTAGCTTTTCCTATAAATTCTCTGTTACTAACTATTGAATTTGCTTTATACATTTTTGTTAGGGCTGAGGCTATAGCTCAGTAAGCACATGCTGAACCTGGATTCAATCCCCAGCAATTAAATAATGTTTAGCTGCTTATTACATATATTGTTTTTCTGCCTCTTATTTTGTTACATTGGTTTCTGCTTTGTTCTCTTCCCTTCAATTTGTATGAAAATTTAAGGTCTTTTTGAAAGGCTTCCTTTTAATGCGTAGGCCTAAACACCTGCTTATGTGTAGGAATTTGTTATATAAAAATAGAGACGCTAGAGTAAATTGTTGCCTATTACATAAAAAAAGTATTTTCCAAAACTTTAGGAGAGAGAAGAGCTTAGATCTTCTAAGGAAGTAGAATTCCAGGGGTCAGTATAAAACACAAGTTGTATACAGGGACTAAAAGGAAATTAAATTAGACAGGGAGGCAGTAATAACATTTTGATTCTCTTTTTAAAAAATATTATTTTCCTGTGTCTAAGGATATAACTCAGTAGAAGAGTGGGTGCTTAACATACGAAAGGCCCTGGGTTTGATAAGCAATACTAAACAAAGAATCCTCAGATAATTGTTTGCATATGGAATCTAAAATACTTCCTTTCTAATGTCAATAATTACAATTGTGTGTATACAGTGTTATTTATAAAGCATTTTAAAGAATTATTTTGTGTTTTTTTTTTTAAGTAACAGCGATTGAACTCAGAGTCTTGGACTTGCTAAACAAGTGCTCTACCATTGAGTGGTATATCTCCAGCCCTTTTTAGTTTAGCCTGAGATGGGATCTCACTAAGTTGCCTAGGCTGGCTTTGAACTTGTGATCTTCCTGTCTTAACTGCCCAAGTAGCTGGAATTACAGACATGTAACATGAGGCCTGGCTTTATCTAGTATTTGGAAAGGACCTGGAGTATATTACAGTATAAGTAGCCTTCTTATCTCAACTTTTAGATGCTAGAACAAATAGGAACTTAAAATTCTTGCTTTCTGCTGAAACTTGGTAATAAATATATCTCTGAGTACTGTAGGCTTATTAAATCAATTAGATGATTTAAAATTAGGGGGTACACCTTTTAAGAAATCTTTTAATTATAAACCAAAAATATATTTGTATAATAAGATCTGAGGTTCCACAATTAAGTCCATATTGGCTATGGTCTGTTGATTTTTCAATAAGGACAACAAGACTATTTAAAAGGAAAAGAATAGATTTTTCAATAAATAGTACTGGGACAACTACATATTCATATGCAGAAGAAAGTTGGACTTCCTATTTCACACCACATACAAAAATTAACTAAAAATGTGACCTAAATGTAATGTAAAATTCTTGGAAATAAACATAGTTACTATAAATCTTCTATTCTTTAGTTAGTATTCAACAGTTAAATATGACAACAAAAGTACAAACCACAAAAGAGAAAAACAAATCCATCAAAATCACACACTTGGACGGAAGTGATAATGCATATCTATAATGCCAGCTACTCAGGAGGACAAGATGGGGAGTTCTTCACTTCAAGGCTAGCTTAGCCAACATGGCAGCACCTTATCTCAAAACAATTTTTTAAATAAATACTTTGTGTCAAAGGATACTTTGATATCAAAGGATACTTTGTATCAAGAAAAAAAGTCAGCTGACAGAATGGGAGAAAATTTGTTATAAGGGTCTAGTATCCAAAATATATAAAGAACTCCTACAACTGCACAATAAAAACACAACCCAGGCCAGGGATTTAGCACAGTGGTTCTGCTGCCTGCCTTGAAAGCACAAGGAGCTGAATTCGATCCCCGGTACCAAAAAAAAAGACAACCCAATTTAAAGCTGACAAAACTTTGAACAGACATTTTCCAAAATAGATTATATATAATATCTATAAAATGTGTAATTTCTATGTAGCAGTGAAGGCATGTAAAGATGCTTACCACCATTAATCATTAGAGAAATAAAAATGAAAACCACAGTGAGATAACCATTTCACACCTGCTAAGATGGCTATTTTTTAAAATAGACAATAAAAAGTGTTGATACGGATATGAAGAAATTGAGAAATTGAAGCCCTAATACATTGTGGTGGGAATGGGAAATGGTTACAGCTGCTATTAAAAAAGCAGTCGACAGCGTTACTGTGTCACCCTCTTCAGTAATACCCCAACAAATTAAAAACGTAAGTACGCGTGAAAACCTATATATTAATGTTCATAACATCATTACTTGTAATAGCCAAAAGATGGAAGCCTGTGCCCACCACTTTTGATTAATAGATGAACGAAGTATGGTATGTGCCTACAATGGAATACTCTTCAGCCATGGGGAATGAGGTACTAGTTAATGTTATAACATGGCTACATCCTGAACATAATGCTAGGTGAAGGAGGCTAGATACATAGGTTGCGTATTGTATGATTCCATTTATACGAAATGCCCAAGAGTAGGCAAATCTACAGAAAAAGAAAATAAATTAGTGATTGATTTGGAATGGTAGGAAAAGGAATCAGGATGATAGGCTGCCTTTGTAGATGATGGAAATGTTTTAGAATTGGATAGTGGTGATGGTTGAAAAAAAAATGTGAATATACTAAAGATCAATGAATTATATACTTAAAATCATTGAAGTGTTTAGTTTTAAGTTATGTGAATTTTATTTTTTTTTAAATTTTACAGTCATAATGGTGTACACCTGTCATTCTAGCCCTTGGGAGGCTGGGGCAGGAGGATTGCAGCAAGTTCAAGGTCAGCCTAGGGTACATAGTGAGTTCAAAGCCAGTCTGAATTACATAGTGAAACCATGTCTCAAAAAAAGTATCATTTTAGTCATATGTAATAATCCTCTTGCTTTATTTCAGGATGCTAGGAAAGCATGTAATGATGCAACACTTGTTCAGGTAAAGTTTTTTTCCCTTAATTCATTTTATTTTTTATTTTATTTTAATTTTCTTTGGTACCGGAGATCGAACTCGGGTCCTTGTGCTTGTGAAGCAGGCGCTGGAACCACTGAGCTAAATCCCCAACCCTTAATTCATTTTAATTACATGAAATAAATTGACACTGATACAGATGACATTCAGATTATTTTATTGGTACTAAATTGAAAAAATCAAATGAAATCTCTATGTAAAATACCTTGTAATTTAAAAAAAAACTTTGTAATTTGTCATGTACTGTACAGTACATGTGTTTTTAAAATACACTGTTAAGCCAGGTGCAGTGGCACCCACTGTGATCGCAGTACTCAGAAGGCTCAGAAGAGAACCTCAGCAAGTTCAAGGCCAACCTTGGCTAGTGAGTTTGAGGACAGCCTGAACTACATAGTGAGAACCTGTCACAAAAAAAAAAAA